CGTGGCATTTATGGACAATAAAACAAAAAAACTATTTATGGACTCCCTATAATCATGGCTCAGGGTCGTGCTTTCTAGCAATCTATGAGGAAGGCCTATGTTCAGCAGTGGACTTTTGATATGCTATAATGGTGAATAAATGGGTGAAAAATCATTAAAAATAAAAATTGTTTCACACAATTTTGTTACTGAAACCTTGTTGTTACGGAGACCTGATTTCAAGTGGAGGTAAAATGCAAACCGTAGGATCTCTCCAACAAATACAGCTGAAGCTGGAAGGAAAATCTACTAAACGCTGAGTCCGTATAATTCCGGAGTACAACTCACTTCGAAAGTGCTTTCAGAGCGCAAGCTGTTACTTTATATAAGCGCAGGTTACCATCGATTCCTACTTTTCGCTAATCTTCAATACGAAGTCGATCTTTTCAATAAAATCTTTGAAAACACTTTATTTTACTTAATCTACAAACGCTTAGAAAGTACATCGGTTATATTTTTAACCGACTTCAAAAAGGAGGAGGTTATCAATTCGAATGGTTTTTTTGTATGTATGTTACGCGATATCTTCGCAGATTGTGAACCAATTTTGATGATTCTTTTTTTATTAAATAGGTTATACTTGGTGGTCAAAAAAATTCCCTTTTAAGGGGAAGTTTTTTTACTTTATTACCTTTTGTTATAAGTTATAATTATTAAAATTGTTTATAGATTAGTAAATTATTGTCACACAGCTACATTATGGTTGTAGCTTTATGTTTTTTTTTATTTACTTATATTAAAAACAGAATACATCTAAAATCCAAATTTTTACCGTACCTATAATATTTTTTGCTTGTTTTATTAGATTTTCTACTAGTGGATGACCATAAGTTGTTAATATTTACCGGAGTCGCCCCAAGCATTGAAGTAATTAAAAAAATGGTTGATTAATAATTATATTTTATTTAATCTAATTGCCACTCAACTTGCGTAGTTTGGTGTAGAACAATTGTTATTTTAATGTCATTTATAAGTTTGTCCGATGTTGCTCTATGACTTAGAGGCCCTTTGTGTATGTGGGACTTATAACAAAAAATAAATTATTTTTCTATCTCTTTACTTATCATTTATTATTGCTTACTTATAAAGTATACATATTATTAAATATTAATTATCTCTTTACTTGTCTTTTTCTATTACTATTTAGTAATGAAACATATAATAGAACAACTCAGCATTTTTTAAATGGATGCGATTAATACTCGTATGAATAATGGCACTAATGTTTAAGATAATGATTGTAGGTATATTTTTTCGTTGCTCTCAGTTCCATTGAAAATTTTTTGAATTATCCCTTTTTCTTAAAGTGTTGATTTTTTTTTTAAAAACGTTACCCCCACACTAGGATTTTCTCCTGTACCGTGGAGGCAGTTTACAAACACAAATTGCACAAGGACAAACATCCAGATCCGGAACAATTATTTGTAGGCCATACAAATACTTGTTCCGTGCGAGATTCGAACCCGTGGCTCCCAGCGCAGCAACCCATTGCTAAGCCACTGCGCCATGGAGCCGTCATATCATATCATATTTTAATTATCAAGATATTTACTCAGATACCACTGTTATTTGTAAGATTTGTGAAAACGAAATTCGTTGAAATAATAGTTTATTATGAAAATATTTTCGTGAAGCCCTTATAGCAATAAATACCTAAAGGCACTCAAAACATGTTCCGCTCCAAATCTCTATAAAATATTTATGGCGTTTAAGGAATTTTCTAAATTTCCGCCGCGAGCACTTTTCTAATTATGTAAAGCTCGAATTGCTTCGGCGCGATCTTTCGCTGTATGTAAACGGGAATTTGTTCAATATTCAATAACTTCTCTTCTCTTCTAGACAAAATTAAAAAAACGGCGGTCAGTCTCTACGGAGACTAGCTATCTGCGCATAGGGTTACCATATCTCAGGATTTGTCCTGAAATTTCCGGATTTTTAGACTCTTCTCAGGATTGCGGCTGGAGTTTGTAAATCTCATGACATCTCAGGATTTTTAGAACTTTCAATATAATACAGCTTACATTTTAAAAGATCTCTTAATAAAAATAATTTTCCTTTGGTAATAATTCCACAATTAAAATCAAAACTTATTTATCCAAGTAGGTACTTAAACAGTTTTATCATACTTAATATGTGAAGATACCTTTTTAAGTAAGGTTTTCTTCTCAAACTGTAAAAAAATCTCAGGATTTTTAAATGGAAATCAGGCCTTTCTCCGGACTTTTAATTTTTTCATCTGGTAACCCTAACTGCGCAGGACAGATTTATGTAGGTACGGAGAGAAATCAGACGCAAGGCAGAGACGGCTTTACGTGCTTTCTGAGGCACGGGAGTGAAACACTGCCAACTTCCTGACTCCAGGCTGCTACTGAGAATTTCTTGACAGAAAAATCAGTAATTGATTTTTGGGCTGACCTGGGATTCGAACCCGGGATCTCATAGTCAGCATTACGACCACTGGACTAACGAGGCAGTCATCAACACATCAGTAGCATATGCATCGTAGTTAAGGGAAAATAAATTTGAAATATTAATTTGTTGCATTGTTAATAATCTCCGAATAACAGTATAATAATTTAAAATTAAAAATTTTGTACAACCGACTTCAATATAAATTATTGAGAATAACTCAAAAACTATTGGTCAGATCTTGATCAAATTTATATGTGACTACATGTGAAGCACCAGCTTTCAAATAAAGAAATAATCATCGAAATCGGTCCACCCAGAAAAAAGTTAAGAGGTAACACACATAAAAAAAACATACAGTCGAATTGAGTACCTCCTCTGTTTGAAGTCGGTAGAAAATTTTAAATGATTACATATATTTTAACCTATAAGTACTCGTACATCAAATAATTGATACCTATATTATGCAATGGTGCGAGAGGTTATACTGAAGATGGTCATAATTAATTTAATTAATTTAAGTTACCTCGGAGCTCTCGAGATACGTTAGGCCAGTCTATTCACTTTAATTAAATAGTACTAAGTAAACAGCAATGGCGGATTCGAATGGCTGTGCGAGCAGTTTCTAAGTTTTCGGCAGTAAGTCAACTCGAGTGCGATATTACTTCATTTGCAACTTTATAGCTCCGCATTTCCCTTCGGCGGTCGGGCGAGTGCTTGCTCCCACTCTTGGTTGTTTTATGAAAAAAAATCTCTCAGGCAGTTTCCTTAAAATTATTGTCCCGAGAAGCCGCCCCGGTCCTTTGTCCTATGCGCAGCCGGGAAAAAATGCCTCGTAAATGGCTCGCTCTTGTTATGTTTTATCAAATAAAACGCTGACGATATATTTAATTAGTAACACCATTTCTTATTCGTATATTTTTTGTTCCTCAGTATCCGTAATGAATTGTGTGATCGTGTATTTTTGCATCACAATATTAACATAGACATTTTTGTTGATTACATCAACGCTATGTTTTTTTTTTTAAAATGAAGTGACAAACGAACTTACAGTGCACTTGATGGTAAGTGGCTACTGCTGCCTATGGTCTACCATGTCACCCACTTCAAGCAAGGCTACAAATGCGTTGTCACCTTCAAGAACTAAGATGGAATGTTTCACAATCCTGTGATTACTCTCTATGGGTATAGAGAGTAAGTATAATCACAGGGTTGTGTTCACACACAAAAACACTAATTCGAACAGATCGATGCAACTATTGCTAACAGACAGTAGTTGCCTATGTTCAGCAGTGGACTTTAATCGGCTGTAACGGTAACGGAATAGACTAAGATATTCTGTAGTAAAATTTTAATCTGAGCATACCTGCTCTAATGCAATACCCGTGATACATGTACCGACCATTTCAATTCGACCAAAAATTTCAATTACTGACTCAAGCGATCTACTGCGTAGGAGATGGAATAGGTAGAAATATTGCCGCGCAGGAGATGATTAGGAATAGGAAGAGATATTCCGATGCCACAATGGTGCCTTCTAGTAAGTAGTGTGTGTAAATTTTCCGATGTACATGGTCCCTCTACGTAAATACACATTCTCGTAAGCTATCAAATGTTGTGACTTTGTACAAATGTTGCCCTTGCACAAACTTAAAAGGCCGGCAACGCATCTGCAATTCCCTCCCTGGTGTTGCAATTGTTCATGGGCGGCGGTAGTCACTTACCATCAGGTGAGCCGCATGCTCGTTTGCCCCCTCTCCTATAAAAAAAAAATGTTGGCCCATGGTCATAAATTTCATAATCATCATGAATAGAATTTATCAGTCCACTGCTTGACATAAATCTGAATGAGCTCCCTAGTTTGAATTTGTAGAAGTTGCCTAATATTTATGACAACATGAAATATTTTTTTAAATCATATATTAGTGGCATGTTTTATGTAAATGGTGGATATAAAGTATGGATATAAAGTAAACCATAACTATTAAATTATATATGTTTTCACACCTACTTTGTTATTGGAATATTTGACGAAAATTTGCAAATGGCCGACCATAAGAAAATGCAATATCCCAAACCAACAATTTCTATGACGATGAGTTATGATGTTGATATTTTATTAATCAAAGGTCAAATGATATTAAATTCATACGCTAATTAGAAATGCAACAATAACCTATATAAAGCGTTTCTAAAGAAAATGAGTTGCGGCGCAAGGGCCGCGGGTTCGAATCCCGCTCGGAACAAGTATTTGTATGGCCTTTAAATAATTATTCCGGGTCTGGATGTTTGTCCTTGTGAAATTTATCCATGTAAAAAGTCTCCACGATACAGGAGAAATCCTAGTGTGTGAGTAACCTTTTTAACTTAAAAAAAAACTAAAATTAATTATTTCTCTTATATTTTTAATGTTGGAAATAACATGAAGATTTAATGTTTTAATTTTCGTAGCCAGTGTCATAAACGTTTTTTTTTAACTGCTCACGTTTTAATGCTACATTATAAAGTGGTCCCGCGAGGATGATTGTAGATATTAATGCAAATTTTTGCAGACGGCGAGCACGATGGCCTGACTGCTCTGTTGGGATCGGCTTCACCCGACTTGGCACTTGCCTCCGACGCCTCCAACAGCCTACCACTTCCTGACCACGATAATGGTTAGTAATCTGAACCTAAATTCTTTGCTAGAAGCTAATGTTTACTGCCGTACTCTGTATTAATTCATCAACTATCTTTTTTTCAAATCTATGCATCGCAGAAAATCCAAAAGTAGACGCCTCATGAGCGTTTCATTTAATTTTGATGAAAAAATATTATTCCTGACTTATAAAATATATTATTTACGTGTTTTAAATTTACCGCTCTGTTATTTTAACACATGTCACCTACAGGGAAAAAAATAGTAATGTTCACCACAATGAATCGACTACACAAAGCATAAAATCGATATATGCTGTATGGTACATTTGTTCTTTGTCTTTCAGCGGCTAAAAAATATGAAAGCGCTTTTAAATTTTTAATAGTAATAAAACTTGAAAATCAATTCATTAACAAAGTACACCGTAACCGGTTAATGTAATTCTGAAGCTAATAAAAAAAAAACCCGGTCTCGATACGTCAATTTCTTCGGGAGTTATCGTGACCACATACAAAATAAACATCCGGACGTCTACGTAATATTTTTTTTAAAACCGTTTTTTTTTTCAAAATAATCATATTTATTGATTTTCAGAAAATATAAAATGGACTAATTCGAATGTTTTCTTGACATACGGCTACTCATATTATTGTATAAGTGCAATATGGTTATAGAAAAAGCATTTTAATAACACAAAATTGCTTGACCTTGACGTGTCGAGAGTAATGCACTACGTAATACCTAATAACGCTTGCGTTATGAGGCGTGCAATAGAATGGAATATTGTATTTTTTTCTTCAATATAGATTATTCTTCTCTGTCCTGGGAAGAACCAGCAAAAAAACCCAGCGAGACTTTTTTTTCAAAGTAAATTAAGAAAGATTGTATAAACTATTTACAAATGTAATTTAAGAAAACCATGTATTCATTTACATTATAATAACTTCTGTTACATAGGTTTTGTTTAAAAAAATATTTATACTTGCTAATAGGGAGACCTTGTATATTTTCTGGGACTTTTACTGGGACTGACAAATTAATATTAATCAGTGTACCTCAAAAGTCTAAACAAGATTTTACAACCTCACAAAAGTTGACTTATGGATCTGAGACACAGTCCTTCACTGCTGGCCGTATGAGGAAGCTCAAGGTCGCTCAGCGAGCTATGGAGAGGACTATGCTCAGGGTTTCTTGAGTGATAGACTGAAAAATGAAGATATCCACAGTAGAACCAGAGTAACCGACATAAAGTAAAAGATGCAAGAAGTAGATGAGTGCAGGTAACTCAGAACCGTGCTTTGGTTCTCCGTACTTTTGCTTTCCTTGTTCTTTTTTACTTATGTTCAGCAGTGGACTTGTAAGGGATTGTGATGATGATGTTGATGATGATAAGGATCTAAAATATGCTTGAAACGCAACATATTAGCATTACTCCCATTCATCACTCCAAATAAACTTAAAATGCTTGAATTAGGTGGGGTGGGTTGACTGCAGTAGTCCAATGGAGAATTCGAACATAATTTCGCGGACTGTACCCTTAACGATGGCTACTTCGGCATAAATTAAAAATAATAAGCGAGCAAATGTTTCCACTTAGTATTTTTTTTTTAAATATAATTATAAAACCATAAAAGCTACATTTGCTAGACGCATAAATCCCTGATTCTTTATAATATTGTACATTCTGTTCCTCATATATTCATGCACATTTAGTAACTGTGTTAGTACTTCGAAGCACATCAGTTAATGCAAATTACGTCAAAGGATAAAGGGACGTACGAGAAACGTTATTAAGTGAAGAGATAAAGCAACGTATGAAGACATTCATTGCATAAAAGAGACCAGAACGCCATAAAGTGTACTCGGGACGAGCGTTCGCTTTGACTTATTTGGTTTGCGTATATTCGTGAAATTTAAGCAAAGAACTTCTTACATGCGAATGCTGTGTACTCGCCACGTTGCCAAAGGCGACCCTTTACATCCGTCTCTTGATGAAATTCCTTGACAAAGATGAACGGTTTTCGTTACGTTTGCAATCAGAGATAGAGACTTTGAGGTTAGAAGAAATGTAATGCCGATTTCTCTTGTAAATATTTAACTCAAAGGATTTCCATTTATTACGTCCTGGTTAAAATGTTACTAACGCAAAATAGCTGTTTACGTAATGATACGCATTAATTTATGCTGCGCGAATTGATGAATGTGGTTTCGAAGCATTAAGAGAAATAGATCGTTGCGTCTCCCGCTTTCTCCCCCAATAGGAACTTTTAAGATTGATGAGTTCGCCGCAGTGACATCTCGCGGAGTTCACTTAAAGCAATAGCGACTAAACTTCCCCAGTTTTAAGGCTTAAGTACCGTTAAATATAGGTATAGATACTTTATAACAGCCTTTTAAGGGAATCTAGCTAAGTGTGTTGATATGATACTAAATTTATTATATTAAGATTGTCTTGATGCCCGGAAAACACAGAATTTAAACTTCATGAATGTTTTGTGAAAATTCTAGTAATCTCATAACATGTTTTCATTTTGGAGGAATCGGCATTTTATTTATTCCTTGTTTTCTTGGTTGTTCGAACTATTTATATTGCGTTAAGGCATAAATCCCTAAATAATATAAACCCTACATCATGAACCTTGATTTAATTTTAGAAAATACACCCTACATTTACCAACATCTTAATGCATAAACTTATACTTTTTTAAATACCGCCATGCTTAAAAAATCTTCATCTCAAGCAATAGATGCCATAATCTAAATGACAAATTCAAAGAACTATTTGTAGCGCAAAGGCGACACAAAATAATCTAGTCAATTTGTTTTAAACACATGCTATATTTACAAAGAAATATGTAAATTATAAATAATTAAAATCTTTGTCCACATGGATACATATTTGCATATAAACTACTGTAACAGTTGCGCAGCCAAGCAGTTTAACAAAATGCATTTAATACAATGGAAATATAAACCTTAGTGTCAAAAAATAAACTTTGAATTAAAAGTAAAATCCAAACAATAATAAATTGAGAAACTAATAAGAATAAAATAATTTCCCCATTATATCTCCATAATATGTCAGTGCTAAGTCATAGTTTATAAAAGAAGTACTTATATGAGACCACTTTTGAAGTGTTAAATTTTTCAATAAAAAAAAATCGTTCAAATTGGTTCACGATTAACAAAGATATCGCGTAACAAACTTATAAAAAATCATATTGAATTAAAAAACTCCTTTTTTAAATTCAACTAAAAAGGGAGAAATGATACCACCAACAGTTCACAGGGTAACTCATATGACCGTCACATGTGACGCAATCTCCGGCTTGTGTACAAGTTGCGGACTCTCCCAGCTCCCGACTCCCAAGTGCCATTTGTCATCTGCATCTAAAATTTCAAAGCAAGTTTATTTTAGAGTGGAACATTATTCGCGTGCTTGCGAGCTGTTACTACGTACAGATGTTCCCTGTATATCTCTATAAACCCAACCAGCGCTCCAACGTCTAACCATTTAAATTTTACGTTTAAATTGCCATATTGAATCCATTTTAACCGATTTCAAAAAGAAGGAGGTACTTAATTTGACTGTATTTCTTATGTGATTTTGATGATTCTTTTTAATTTTAAAGCTGGTGCTTTTCATGTGGTTCTATATAAATTTGATCAAGGTCTGACCAGTAGTTTTTGAGTAATCTTCAATAATTTATATTGAAGTTCATTGTAGAAATTTTTTAATTTTACCACTTGTATAATATTTATCTCTCATTGACAATTCATTAACAGAAAGTTCATGGCCTTAGACTATTAGACTACTTTTTTTACGTGGTAGAGCCATGCTGCAGCTATATTAGTAGTATAGTTGTAGCACGAATGGATCGGCATGACCGAGGAAGGACCACGCTTTCACCAGTGTAAAATAGCAGCTTAACATTGCTGTGTTTCGTATGGTAAGTGTAGAGAACCGGAGACCCTTTTTACTGGAAAAGAGGCAATCCATCTTAGTCCTCACGGGTGACAAATTTTATACGTGGTAGAGCCATGCTGCAGCTATATTAGCAGTATATTTGTAGCACGAATGGGTCGGCTCGACCGGGCAAGGACCACGCTCTCACAGAATACCAGCTTAAAATAGCAGCTTAACATTGCTAGTTTCGTATGGTGAGTGTAGAGAACTGGAGACCCTTTTTACTGGAAAAGAGGCATTCCATCTTAGTCCTCACGGGTGAAAACGCATCTGCATTTTGATTCGCAAACGAGGATAGATGTAGATGTCTATGGACCACAGCAACCACTTACCATCAGGTGGACTGTGTGATCATTTGTCACCCTATCGTATTATAAAAAAAATCGAAATACTCTTCTATTTCGATTTTTTTTATAGGATTTTGAGAGATGGAGAAAAACCATTTTAAAATTCGTCTATGGCTGGGAATTTAATTTGGAATTTGGTTTAATTATTTACTGGTGCTATTACGGCTTGCTACGGCGCTATACTGAGTCTGTACCTCTTCAACGTCTAATGCCCATCCAAAAATCGTTACAATTAAACTAAAGCCCTCAGACCACGATTCGCCCATTTCCTATAAAGTTAATGGGACATTTATATCCCACTAGCCTAGTCTAGATACTGGCTCTCTCTTATGCAATGTAAGAGTACATGTTGAATGTAATGTATAATAAATTGTAGAGAATTAAGCGTGTTGTTTTCTCAGATATGCAGGTTTACTACTTTACCTAGCACGTGGTAAACAGCAACCAAAATTGCAACTAGCACTTTCAGTGATGCCGACCAAGATCGAACTCGGTTTGCTCGCGTACCATGAAATTTAAGTAAGGGTCATAAAGGAACTCACGGTCTACCCTAATTGTGAATAAATACTATCTCTGCTTTCCTAATGTCACTAGGCAAGGAATTCCAAGTATCTTGAACTATGAAGAAGTTACCATAGAACTTTATTACGTTGCTATTAGACGTTAGTATTCTGTGCAACCTATTCGCGCTGCAGCTATAATACG